CGCACAGTGGAGTGCTGCCCCTCCAATAGCTCGATGTTGGGGAATGGTGGCTTCCTGGGGGATCTGAAACAGAACTAGGGGGAGAGGGAAGGAGAAGAGGTCTGGTTTGGATCACACATGTACCCCACCAGCCCGTCCCAGGCAAGGAGGCTGGAGGCTGACTCTGCTGCTCTGCACGGGAGGGTAGCACCCACGGGAAACAGCAAGGCTGGGGCTGATGAGACAATTTTTACTTACTAGTGGTGCCCAAAGGCACATGTACTAATGGTGCTATACAGGGAGTTCCCCCGGAGTTTGTTGTTTTCCTTCATGTTTTATCACCAGATACCTTGACCTACAGGAAGGTGCTGGGTCCTCTTGTGGCAGCTCATCGAGTAGTGATTTCTGCACTCATGGGAGTATTTCTGCACCCTTTTCTGTTCCTTCCTTTCTGTTTCATGGTGTTGGGTGTGCTCATGGGAGACTGGGGAGTGGCAAATGCTTTCTCTGAGCCCTGACGGCTTCCTGGATATGTAGGCACAGAGGGAATTAACAGCAGAGATGAGCATCATTTGGTGTGCATTAGAAGCAAGGCAAACAAGTGAATTTAGAGAATGGATGTTCTGAGGCGGTATCAGATCTGCTTCCTCGGTTATACAGTTGCTGCTGTGACTATGTATTGGCAGTTGGTTTTGTTACCAGCTCTGCTTTTTAGTAAGGCTACTTAGCACTTCTGCACTGGTTTAGATCATCTTCTCAGCTGTTTGTAATTGCACTATGCTTAGAAGTATTTGGGATTAAATTTTTCATGTTGCAGGTTGTCTTGAGCTGTTTGATTTTTTTTTTTTTTTTTTAATCTCTCCCCCAACTGCCACCATCATAATTTTTTTTTTTTTAATTTCAACTTGATACTTTCTGTTGTTTTGCCTGTGCTAATGTTTTCCCTATGCGCTTGCCACTTACTAGTTCACTCTCAGTATCCACTGCTGGACTCTTCTTTCCACTGCCATGCCTGGATCTCCTGGCTACTGCATCCAGCTTCAGCCCTTCCCAGGCTTTTTATTGAGATTTGCAGTTTATAATTTGATCTCGATCCCCATCCCCTGAATACAACCCCTTCCTCCTCTGTGCTGCCTGAGGACTAATGGGTAATTTGGGGGCTCTGTGCAGCCCCTCTCCTGTCTAATAACTTCAAGTTTGCAAGCCACGTTGAGCGGGGCTAATGCAGGGGCATTACTTCTTGTTTCAGCATGGCTGGGGCATTGCAGGATTGGGCTTCGCTCTCATGTTCCTGCGTTGCCACCCACTCACCCTGCCTGTCGGGGGGTACATGCGGACTGTGAGGGGATGGGGTGTGTTAACAAAGTTAAACCCCATCTACCAAGAGCATGCAACTTGCACCCCGCTTCTCCCCAAGGGTGCCAGTACGGCTGTGTGTGAGCGTACCTACGTGGAATCAGACACAGCGGGTCCTTGACTCCTAGGTCACTGCTGTTACAAATTTCAAACCTAGGTCCCAGAACACCGGATCACAGGAGAATTTCAATGAGAATGGCTTTCCAATCTGGACAGAACTAAGGGCTTTTGCTGTCGCTGAGGAATGTTTGGGATGTCTTTGGCCAGAAAGTTTGCCCTCCGATTCAGCTCAAGGAAAAACCCAATATGGGAAATGTCACCTTAGATAAGTAAAACCCGGCCAAGTTCTGAATAACCCAAAGCAAAATGCTACAATGGGGAGTGTGAGGCTCTTGTAATTGCTTGGAGCACTACCATTCATTCCCCTGCCTGTCTGGTACGTTTTTGTGCTCATATGGTCACTGTTAATTCATGCTGGATTGTTCTAATTAACGTCGATGAACTGTTCAGCCAAGAAGACTGCGGAGCTCTGCAGCTGCAGAGAGGGCTGGAGGAATATCTCCTGGTTTCTTTTTCTGTTTTTTCCTCCCTCGTGGACAGGCACCGTTTCTGTCCATAACCAATAGGAGCCAATTTGCTGTTTCATAATAGGAAAATACTAATGTCAGGACGCCCTCCTTACCCAAAGCTTTCTCCTTGAAGATTGCTCCTCTTTGCTTTCCTAATTGCTGCTGCCCAGCTGGGGGTAGTGCGCGCCTTCCAAACACGTTACTTTGTTATGCTGTTACTTACCAAAGGGAAAAAAGAGAGTATGAGAGAATATTGTTTTGTGTCGAGCTTTCCTCACTTTAACCCTTTCTGTGCTGACGTGGGGCCTTTTTCTCTAGCGCAGGACATTTTGCTATTGGCAATACGTGCTTTTTGGTCTGAAGCTTGGGGTGTGATGGAGCTCTGATGTGAAGAACACCTAGAAATCATTTCTGCTGGAGTCTGAGGAAGCCTCTGATATGTCTTCTCTTGCTAAAGCATCCTCTTTGGAGTCACCGTATATAGGATCACCTACAATAAGATGGGAGTTGCTGAATTAACATGAAGTATAGGTGGTAGGGGACCAAAAAGATTTGGGTGAAGCCCTTGGAACCAGGTTGGCTGAAAACTTAATGCTTGGAGTTACCCTTCCCTGAAGACTGACAGGTCTGGAGCCTGCAAGAGCAGAGCCGTGGGGAGGGCACTGGAGCCATGCTCCACGTGTTTCTTAGGGACTGAGGAGTTGGACAAGGATCACAGATGTTTGACTTGCTGCTCATGGGCCGTCCTCTTGCAGGTCAGTAACCAGGAATATTCACAGAAAAGCTGTTTTCTCCAGAAACTTCAGAAATGAGCAGGTCTGAGCCTTTTGTGTGGCACCTCACTGATAGAAGTGGGATGGGTTACTATCCTGGCAGCCAGGGCAGGTTACCTGAATCCCTTGGGGCTTTTTTGGGAAAAAACCCAGTTGCCTGGAGTAGAGCTGGGATGTTGTAATGGTGTATGTGGAGGCAAGGCTGCTGGGAGAGGCAGGCTGTTGGGAATTTCCTAGTGGCATGGAAGAAAGGAGGAGCTTGAGCAGAGCGAGGACCCAGTTGAGAGCTGCAGAAAGCAAAGCTGAAGCCTGAAGATTAACCCTGTGGGTACGGAGGGACCTTGCAAAGCCAAAAGAGCCATATTTTTGCCTAGTCCCCGAGCATACTCCTGTGGCGTCAACCTCAGAAACTGCTTTGTTTAACCAGAAAAGGAAAGGAGAGCCTCTAGGGGGGGTAGGGTAGGGTGGGATGGTGGTAGTGTCTCTGCTCAGGCTCTTGAATTCATCACCAGCTGCCTTTCAGTGAGTGGAGTCACTTCCTGCTCCAGCTCATTAACATCTGGAAAAGAAAAAGGGTGGAGTAAGTAGTTTCCCAACATATCAAGAGGGTCTCTTCCTGTTCTTGAGCTGTGTGATGTGCAGCTGTCCAGATCCTGGGCACCTGTCTGCCCGTACCTTTATTTTTGCTGGCTCCACCAAAAGAAACAGCTGTGGTGGTATCAGCCTGGTAGGTGTCTCCAGCCAAGCTTCTCCTTAATCCTGCCTTCGTGCTGCCAGCATGGGGCAAAATGTGGGTGTTTGAGGTACGTGTTTGTCTTGTGAAAGCTGGCTGTTTACTGCCTGTGTTTGGGTGCTGCTCCAAGACCCAGGGCAGAGGCGGGCAGATGTTTTGTGAGAAATGGTTTCTGCACCACCTGGTGTCTTCCATTGCTGTAATGATCAGGCCTGCAGCAAACCAGCAGTTACAGCCCGAGTGTTTAATCTCTAATGAAGCCCCAGCAAAGAGGGGGTTTTGTCCCATGGGAAGCAATGATTCAGCTCCCAAGGATCATGCAAGCTCGGGTAGGTGCCAGACATGCTTAGCATGGAAATCGCAGTTAAGCATGGAGTCAGCTACCTCCTTGGGGAGGTCCAGCTCTCCTTGGAGGGTTTTCTGCTGCCAGATGTCTTCACGTCTGGACTTTCAGGTATTTGCAAGTAGTCTGAGGATTCACAGAGAAGCAGAATCCTGTTTGCTGTGCTTTTTCTTCATGTATCTTACTTAAGAAAAGATAAGGCAAAAAAATTTTTTTTTTCATAATCTCAGATGATTGTAAAAAGCTCTTCTCTTTTACCCTGTGTTGGCTGCACCTGAGTTTGCAGACAGGCCAGGTTAACAAGTCAGAAAATTATCTGAGGTGACTGAGGGGTTGGTGGTTGCGAAGTCTTGTGGTGGGACTGAGCCCTTCTTGCTGGGGCAGCGCCGATGCCAAGAGCACTTCCCTTGGCATTGTCCTCTGCAGTTGCGTGATGTGGCTTGGAAGGGCGGGCCCACGGGTCACAGCTGCACGCTTTGGGTGCAAATGTTCAAATCCAGGTAATTGCATCTGGCCTTCAGGATAATCCCAATATAGATCTGTGTCTCTCCCCACCACAGCCTGGCCAAGTTCTGGACTGGTTGTAGAAATCCTGATTTCTTGAGGGTGCCACTGTACTACGGCTTGCTTAGAAATGAGGTTTTATCCTACTTCGTGTGATCCCCATGCTCCCATTCCTGGTACCCACTGCTGCCTGTGCCCGGGGCTGCCCTGCCTGCCCCTGTGCTGCCAGGCTTTGCACCTGAGGAACCCTGCAGACAGCGCACAGGGGGCTGGGGGCAGGCAGGCAGTTGGTCTTGTATTTGCTAAAACCCAGCAAGTGGCCTTGGGAAAGGGGGCACGTGAATGATCAGTGGGCTTTAGGGGTGTGTTTGGGAAAGGGAGAGCACAGGAGGAAGCATGGTGGCTCTGCTTGGGCTGCTGGTTTGGCTCCACAGAGGTGGGGGGTGTGGGCAATGTGGTGGGCAGCTCAGCATTTGAGCAAGACAGGGGATGCTCATAGCCTGCAAGCGTGAAGGCAGGTAGCTGTAAAGACAATGGTGTGGGCAGCAGGTTGGATGCATTTTTTTTTTTTTCTGTTTGCAAAGCCTTTCTTCCCTTGTTCCCTTTATTTCCAGAGCTGATACTGTTACCTAATCCATGTTGCTAAAATTCTTCTGTGTTAGAGGATGAGCTTTTTCTGTGGGAAGACTGCTATACTTCTCTCTAATATTGACTGTCTTTCTTCCTCTTGTTTCCCTTCTTAGATCTACAATGAGAATAGAAACCTGTTTGAAGTCAAGGAGAATGTGCCCAGGAAATTGGTGGAGAAGGTCGCAGGGGACATCGAGAGCCTTTTGGCCAAGAAAGTCCGTGCTTTAAAGGTAAGGTGACAGGCCTGTGAGCTGATCCTTTGTCTGATATGTTCAGTTTAAAGGAGAGAGTTGATGCTGGCGTAGTATTATGATCTTAGCTTCAAAGTCATTTCTATGATTGTGTGGCCTTTTCTGGGAACTGCATCCTGCAGTTGCACGGATTCATATAGTGTATGTCTGGGGTGTGAGGTGAGGACATATCATGTGAAGATCTACTATAGGTATCTTTTTGCTTCTTCTCTCCTCCCACCGTCATGCAAACACCTGAAGGTGCTGTCACAAGAATACAGGCGACAGCAAAAGCCTGGCAGCAAATTTGACCCGGTCATTTAACTGGGGGTGTGGTGAGCAGGAGCAAAGGTGTCCCTGCAATAGCTCATGGAAGTGTTTCAGACAGGTAGGGTTTATTTTCCTGTTTAGGAGAGGATGCACTGAAATGTTTACGCTGGTGCCTGGCGCTCGAATCCTGTGATTGACTGCATGTGTGAGTTGCCCTCATGGGTGCCTGCATACATTTCCAATCTATTGTCCTATTTTGTAGCACTCCTTTTAAAGTGAATTCATTTTATCTGTAGTGGAGTGAGGTAACCTGCTCATGATGCTGGCTGGGTAAAACTTGGTGGTGGCTGTAACGAGGCGGCAGTGAGGCTGTGCTCTGCTACTGGGGCAGAGACAAGTAATTGCCTTCCTGGAGAGATGGAGATACCCTCTCCACTGCAGAGGGTTACGGGAGCCATGTAAGAGTTTCACTTCCAGGAGCTGTGGTGTCCTCTCGAATACCTGACTGTAGTGAGCAGGATAAAGTTGTGCAATGGACATCTGGCACTATGGCCAACTGGGCATGCCTTGCAGCTTGATTAACTGTAAGTGCTTTTGTGGGGAGATAGACAAGGGGAAGGCTTGGAGCAGGTAGCATAGCTGTTGTGTTCACATAGGGACTATAGCCAAAAAGACTTGGGACCCCCTTCAGCCTGATTGGCAGGAATGGGAGCACAGGAGAAAGTACCACGGTGAGGGAAAAGGTGTTGGAATAACTGAGGTGTAACTAAGGTGGTGAGAGTTTGGAAGTGACCTATCTCTGTAGTTGGGTAAGAAGTAGTAGCTCAGAGAAGGCGCACAGAAGGAATTGCAAGACACCCATGTAGGCGAGGGGACCAGACGGGATCTCAGTCAAGTGTGGTCAAAGGCCAGCTTGACTGATGGGATGGCACGGGGTTGTCCACAGTAACTGATAAATACAGCAATTGTAGGGATTTGGGTGAAGAATATTGTTGCATAATCAGTTCTTGAGTTTGATAAGTAAAGACCAAGCCTACTTGGGACTCACAGCAAATGTTTTAGCTTGAATGGAAGGATCTGAAGTGGGACTAAACAGGTGGACATTGTCACCACTGCATTGGGTTTGCAGAAGTGAAGAACAGGGAGACCAGTTCTTTTCTTAATGTGAGCTTACATCCCTGTGTTACCATAATTTGTGTGTGTGAGTGAGCATGTATCATCTAATAAATGTTCCAAAGATGTGCACCACCTGTAGATCCTGCAGGAAGACACGGGTGACAGAAGTTAATTGCAAACTTGATACACACCTGGACAACGTGTGGCTGCTGTGGGCTGGGCAGGGTAATAACACTGGGTTACACAGCAAGACTGTGCTGGGTGGTTTCCACTGTGCCATTTGAATTTCAGCTGATCAGTCACTGTGGTTTTTTCTTACCCTTTTCTCTGACTCACACAGACTTGAAGAGAGTTTGTGCACCTTCTGGTGCTAAGTCAAGGGTAGGACTGCTGCCTGTGGTACAAATAACCTTGTTTGTCTTCCAATTTGACTGCCTTTTTGTTGGGTTTTTGGGCAGGACTGGTTGGTGCGCTGTTAAGAGCTCACCTGCTGCTGGACCTGGTGCAGAGGAGTGATTCTGGCAGCACTGCTTAGGTAATGAGCACTTGGTGCTGTCTTACTGTAATGGAAACAGTCACTGTTGACCTGAATTAGTCTGTTCAAGAGGACTCCTTCAGAGCGCAGTCACCGGATGGAGCAGTCTCTCACATCCAGCTTGCATGTAAATGCTTGGCATCTTGGATTGGTGGTACTGACAACAAAATCCAGAAATGGGGAAGTTGATGGGAGGAGGAGAAATTGGATCTTCTACATTTCTTCCACATTGTGCTAAGCTCCTTCGAAGCAGTGGGGCTCCCACAGCTTCTTCTACTCTCCAGCCTCTCTTTCTCAACTCTCCCCTTAGTTGAATCATCTCCTGGAGTCATTTCCTCCCATTCTCTTGTGACTCATGGGAGTGATGGTGACTTCTTGAAATACATTTTTCAGCATCTGAGTCAGGTGGGACTCTGTGTATCAGCGAGGGCAGGTGAGGAGGGAGAAATGGATCCTCTCCTTGAAGTATGAATTGCTGTGTCACTCACGTACTCGCTCTGCTGAGGAGATGCCTCCCCGTCTCCTTTGCTGCAGGAAAGGGAAGGGATATTGCCTGCAAGGCTTTGTAGGGAGGTGCTAGCTAGCCTTTGGGCACGCACAATGGACACACGCTTCAAGAGTGCCATTCTGATTAGGTGGTGATTCAGTCCAGCCATCAAAGAGCCCGTTTTCCTCTGTTTCTAAGTGAAAATATTAACGTGTCTTTATTAAAGTTAAACTCTGTGCCGAGCACTTATCAATAATATATAGTTTCTTATCTTGTGTGTCACATTTCTAAGAAGCAGAAATCAAGCACAAGGAAACCAAACTCATCTGTCTGGCCCTGACAGCCATGGCGCAGCACTGTGGCATGGGTCTGGCACTAGCAGGACACCGATTTCACACGTGGGTTTTGGAGGAGTGCTGGAGCCAGGGGTGTGCAGCAAAGAAGGTAATTGCTTCCTAAAATAACAGACATCTACAAGGGGCTGGTTATTTGGATGCTGTCCCTCCCTTTTTCTTCCAGACCATCATATCTGACGATAATCTTATCATGGGACAGAAAAATTCCTAGGAAGATCTTTTTGCAATCCCTACCTGTTCCAGCTGGCACTAGAGAAGAGCCTACAGCTGGCTCCTAGGAGACTTTTACCCTGTCCCACGCAGTGGCCTCTGCTTGACATGGAATTTTATCACCATCCTCCAATGTCCTTTCTCCATGATGATTTCATTGCTTTAAGCCTGCCCTCACAGTCTCTTTTGGGCTCTGTAGTTCCAGCTGCCTTTTATTCCCAAGCTTGAGCAGGAGAGGAGGTAGAAGAGATGGTCTTCCATACCAAAAGTACGGCTACTCTCCTTTGAAATGGAAGTAAAAGATATTGCTAAGGTGGAGTAATGCCTGAAGGAGATGACATTAAATTTATGCAGCCTATTGCATTGTGAGGAAGTTCCAGGGATCTTACTAGAAGGTGAGGTGTAAGGCAACAAAAGGTATGTTCCTAACTGGGTAGAAGTGTAAGGGGCTGCTCTTGTCCACCCTCATGAGCTTGCCCTTGTTAGGGCTAAGACGGACATCTTCCTTCATGTGTGGAAAGGAAAGAGGTGGCAGGTTGCCACATGACTACAAATCCCTGTTGTGTTTTCCTTGTGCTGGGAATCACAGATGACTAGGTTGTGGATCGACATAATCCAAGACTAGAATTCACCAAGTTGGTTGTTTACCAGATAGATTCTTCTGGCACTTTTTTTTTTTTTACTTAAGTTTCCTATCTGTTCTTCAGTCTCTCAGTGTGTTTAGACCCCTCCTTGCTTTTGTATGTGCACAGAGAGATGTGTACCAACAGGCTAGGGCTTCTTTGGTGAGCTTATTTAGGAGCCCAACCATTGGCATTTCCTGGTGGTGGAGCAGTGAGCGAGCCAGGGCAAAGCCATCACCTGGGGGTGGGCATGGGGCGGCTGCCAGCTCTGGATCCCCAAACCCAAGGGGCATTCTACTCTCTTCCTCTTTTTTTTCTTCTCTCGCTGTAGCCTGTCTGGGATTCCCCACATCACCCATAGTGGTAAAGCCTTCCCTTCCTCTAAAGCCTCACTGGCTGTGTTTGCTGAGTTCTCTGTAGAAAGAAAAGGAAGCAGCAAAGATAAAAGGCACTGGAAAGAGCATCCCTTGCCATCAAATCCAGCCCCTTGCCTTCTCCATGTGCCCAGAAGACAAGGGCATCTCGTCTTCCCTTCCCTGTGCTGTTTGCCATTCCTG